GGTATGTATAGACCTTCTATAAGGCTCCTGTAGCGGTAACCCTAACCCAAAACCCAAAACCCTAAACCCCAATCCTAGACAAAAACCCTAAACCCTGAACCCTAAACCCTAAAACCTAAACCCTGGCCTTGCGCCACGATAGGAGCCATCTGCTTCTGCGGCAGCACGGCGTTGGGACCAAAGACCTGAGCCGCGGGGCTCTTTAAGGGTTTAGGGTTTAGGGTGTTTAGTCTAGGATTAGGGTTTAGGGTTTAGGGTTTAGGGTTTGATCAAGGATTAGGGTTTAGGGTTTAGGGTTTATAATAGGGTTTAAGGCTTAGGGGTTTAGGGTTTAGGGTTTAGGGTTCCCGGAGAGCCCGAGGGCCCCCCAATTGAAGAATATACCTTATAAACCCTACACCCCCAAACCCTAAACCCTAAGATCATAGGAAGACCAAAATGATCGAAGGTCTCTTCCTTAATTTACGGGTGTTGCGCTCTGGGTGCATTCTGGGTTTCTTTCAGGTTTCGCTGAAGGGTTCGCTGAAGGGTTCCAACGGGGTTTTTGGCAGGCTTTACTGGGGTTTCTTAGGGTTTCGGGGCCGTTTAGGGAAACCTTGGGGGCTTAGTGTTCCTAGGGCTTGTCGTGCGTTTAGTGTTTCTAGGGTTGTGAGGGTGCTTTAGCATTTGGGGCTACGGGAACTGCCGCCTTGCATTTATTTCAGGCCCTGTAAGCACGCCCTACGCACCGAACTTCAAACGCTAAACCCTCAGCCCTAAATCCCAAAGCTAGGTTTGAAGATGTTGGAGCCGATGGCTTCGGGCCTGGGGTTCTTCAACACATCGTGTAGTCACCGTATAAAAACCTTACTTAGCTGCAGAGTTCATAAGCCCAAAAACGTGCACACCGTCGCTTCTATACGGGGTAACATTATCCCCAGAAGTGTAGTCAGTGTAGTATACTCACTCAGCCACTATAAGCCTGTAGGTACCATACGAACAAGGCGGCAATGAACGTTTGTTGCAATTTAGGCTCAGGGGTAGAGGGGTTTTAGGCTTTCGGTTCGATCCCTTTTGAGTGTGGGCTTTAGAGAATGGCAATTTGGGCTTGGGTCTTTCGGCTGTGAACTCGGGTTTCAGTTTAGGGTGTAGAATAGTGTACCTCAAACTGACATGACTAGGAATAGGAGCAGAAGTATTAGTAGCAGAAGGAGTAGGAGTAAGAGCAGGAGCAGGAGTAGGAGTGGTAGGAGCAGTAGGAGCAGTAGGGGTGGTAGGGGGAGGAGTAGGAGTAGGAATAGGAATATTAGCATTCGTATTAGTATTGGTATTAGTAATAAAACGATTATTAGTAGTAGTAAATGTAGTAGTAGGAGGAGGAGTAGGAGTAGGAGTTGGCGTAGGAGTAGTAGGAGTAGGAGGAGGAGAGGAGTAGGAACAGGAGTAGGAGTACTGGTATTAGTATTCGTATGAGTATTACTACTATTAGCTTTAGTAGCAGAAGCAGTAGTAGTGGTAGTAGTAGTAGTAGTAGTAGTAGTAGTAGTGGTAGTAGGAGTAGGAGTAGGAGTAGGAGTAGGAGCAGGAGTAGGAGTAGGAGTAAGAGTAAGAGTAGGAGTAGGAGTAAGAGTAGGAGTACTGGTAAAGGTACGTGGTAGGAGTGGCAGTAGGAGTAGCAGTAGCAGTGGCAGTAGCAGTAGCTGTCGCAGTACTGTCAGTAGCAGTAGCAGTAGCAGTAGCAGTAGCAGTGGTAGTGGTTGTAGTGGTGGTGGTATCAGTGGTAGCGGTAGTGGTAGTAGCAGTAGCAGTAGNNAGGTAGGTAGGTAGGTAGGTAGTTAGTTAGTCGTAGTAGTAGGTGGTAGTAGTAGTAGTAGTAGTAGAAGTAGTAGTAGTAGTAGTAGTAGTAGTAGTAGTGGGAGTAGGAGTAGCAGTAGCAGTAGCAGTAGCAGTAGCAGTAGCAGTAGCAGTGGTAGTGGTTGTGTAGCGGTAGTGGTAGTAGCAGTAGCAGTAGCAGTAGCAGTAGCAGTAGCAGTAGCAGTAGCAGTAGCAGTAGCAGTAGCACTAGCAGTAGCAGTAGCACTAGCAGTAGCAGTAGCAGTAGCAGTAGCAGTAGCAGTGGCAGTAGTACTAGTAGTTAGTCAGTTAGTTAGTTAGTTAGTTAGTTAGTTAGTTAGTTAGCTAGCTAGTTAGTTAGTTAGTTAGTTAGTTAGTCGTAGTAGTAGTACCAGCACCACCACTAGCAGTCACTAGCAGCAGAAGCAGGCAGTAGTTGTAGCAGTAGCAGTATGTAGTAGCCTTAGTAACTGCAATAGTCTCGGTAGCACCAACGGTCCCAGCACAGGGCAGTAGCAAACAATAGAAGTAGCAGCAGCTGTAGTGGTAGGGTCCTCTCTACTTGGAGGTTCATGAGCCCCATGGGTAGTTATAAAGGGGGTTATAAGTCCCCCAATGTGGGTTGTCATTACAGTTACCCTACTTATAGCCCCACTTATAACTACCCATGAACCTCCAAGTAATCATGGTTGGCCCGGAGGTTGAGTCCGAAAGTCACAGGCATAACTTCATTATCGTTTCGTGGGTAAGTCCCACAGATCAGACCTCGGCTTATGCTTATCTCATGTAAGCTGCAGACAACAAATACATACAGTACAGGCTTCAGACAACAAACACATACAGTAGAGGTTTGATAAGCAGAATCGTGCTCCGGTGTATAGTACAACGACAACGTCTTAAAGCCTCTATACAGTTAATTACCTTACCCTAAGCCCTCGACCCGAAAATCTCAAACAACTAAACCCTGAATCCGCAATGTCCTGCCTCTGTCATCTTCGCCTGGGTGGGTGGATACTCCACGCCGTCGTTCCGGGCGAGCTGATCCAGCTGAACTCCCAGCCTTAGTTATGCAATGGTTTCGGGGGCTTCGTGTCTACAATAAACCCCAGCAAGCTACCGGTTTAGCGTTCCCTATGATGACTTCTTGATATAACTCTTTGAGAAGGCTGGTTGGCTTAGCAATTCACTTCCGGCAACTTAGTTCCACATTTTCCCTAAACCCTAAACCCTCATGTCTTCTGAGTCTCGCGGCTTAGGACTCTTAAGTCCTAGCGTATATGCTAGGTGAGGTGTCGATTTCAACAGGTTTCAAATCATCTTTAATTCGGCCCCTATATAAAACAAAAAAGGGGAAACTAAACACTACCCCAAATCGATGCATAGTATAGGCCTGTTGGGTTGAGGGTTTCGGAATTAGGGGCTTAGTGTCAAGGTGTAGTGTGGCATAGAATGCTTAAGAACTACTTCATCAAAGGGTTTAGGGCTCCTGAATTTTTTAAACTCAAAACTTGGTGCAGGGTTTAGGGTTTAGGGTTTAGGGTTTAGTGAGAGTTTGTCCGATCTCTAGCTTCAGAGCCATGATTCACTTGAACAGGCTTCCTTAAAAGGCTTCTTTGCAAGGCTGAATCATATAGCAGGCATTGTAACGGTTCCTCTGAGGGTGCTTTGGAGGCGTCCTTGTAGGGTTCACGAAACGATGTACTATACAGGTTTAATGTAGGGGGTGCGCGGTAAACAATCACCTTTTCGGAAGACATGCAGACAATCCAACAACCCCCCCCACCAAAAAAAAAACATCCAAACCCTAAACCCTAATCCCTAAACCCTAAACCCCTAAACCCTAAACCCCTAAAACCCTTTATCGAAAAATGGAAGCAGAACAAAGACAAAGACTCCGAAAAACTGAGGCTTTCCTAGGCCCTGGCCGCACAAAAAGGAGCTAGCTGGTAGCTGGGGTTCAGGAGTTGGGGTTTTAGCGTGTAGGGTTTAGGGTTCAGGGTTTAGGGTTTAGGGGCCGCGAAGTAGAAATATGGTTTGCAGCACAGAAGTAGCTAGCATGACCGCAGATGTCATGCAGAGCTTACGGGTTAAGGAAACCCTCAAATTCAAGTCTTACACAACTCCTGGGTCCAACATCGAGCTTTGCCCAGCTTTCGTTTGGTTTGCTCCTGCAGCCAAGCCTCTTGATCATCTCAATCATCAAGTTCTCCTGGAGTGCCGGTTCAAGGTGCCAAATGAAAGATTCTGCGCCCAGGACCGTGACAGTCATAAAACAAAGGAAGCAGGTGTTTGTAGCAGCAGAAGTAGCGACCATCGACAGCAATAGAAGAAGCGGGAGAAGTGGTGGCGGTAGGGGTAGGGTTGGGAGTAGCAGCAGGACTGCGACTGAGAGTAATCAGGAGTAGGAGTCAGAGTACAAGTAGGAGCAGCACCGCCTCCCCTACCGTAGGGGCCTTAATACTTAGAATAGGGTGTTAGAGCATACTATATATACTACAATTTAAATGAGGAGCCCCCAAATAGCAAGCACAGGTAATTATTAAGGACCCTACAGCACCACTGCTGCTACCATTACGACTGCGACCACACGACCGACTCCATGTGGTAGTGGCAATAGTAGTAATTGCAGTAGTGCGTAATGTAGGGGCCTTAACGACTGGTATCACTATTCAGGCCCCTATATTGGTTTTTGCTTGCTGCTGCGGCTGCTGCTGTTGCTGCTGCTGCTGCTGCTGCTGCTGCTGCGGCTGCGGCTGCGGCTGCGGCTGCGGCTGCGGTTGCGGTTGCGGTTGCGGTTGCGGTTGCGGTTGCTGTGACTGTTAC